ACGCAATAACTCTTTTTTTTTGTCATTTACCATGTAAATATATGATGGTTAGTATTAGAAGAACGTTAAAATAGTAGCAGATCTATTGCCCATATTGAGCACAGTTTGCTTATATGCATCAAGTTGAAATCATCTTGAATTCAGGTTGGAAACAGTCAAGCTGATATACGCTGAAAAAAAATTTATCGTAATAATGGAATCGACATTTTTAAACAAAATTTGTCGACGTCGTCAGTTTCTGGAAAAAATTGTCGATTCGACAAATTTGAGATTCCTAGTTTGTCGAATCGACAAATTTTTTTTCGACAAATTTTGAATCGACATTATTTGCAGTCGACGAAATTGATGTTTCCCAAAACTAAGTCTCGCATTTCGTATATTTTTTGAAATCTAATCACAACTGGAGATTGGTGAGATTAGTACCAAGCCTGACTAGTACCAATCTCGGCTTGGTATCAATACTGATTGTACCAGCCCTCCAAGCCTAAGATTGGAACTGGTGCAGGCCTACCTGTATCTGTGATTTCTTGTCTTTTACAACAATTGACTAGCACCTCTTTCTAGTTATCTTACTTATCCTCCATTATATCCACCAAAAGAGAAAGAAAACATTATTTATATATGAAAACACATAGAGAAGACCAATGAAAGAGAGAGACAAGACGAAAGAGAAGAAAGAATACAATCTTGGACATCCTCTCTGTTAGACGAGGAAGAATTTAATTGATTCTTACTAAAGTGAAGAGAAGAGAGGAAGAAGACAAAAATAAGATTGACGTAGATATGTATTAGAATACTCACACACAAATAAAGATGAACGTACACATAAAGTTGAAGAAGAATAACATAAAGTTTCTGTTAGAACACTGTCTAACAAATTTATTCCAATACATAGTACTCAGTCGCTTGCCATCGTGCTGGACATTTTTTGACAATATTGTTGCTGACCAAAAAAGTCGCTGGTGCATGGGATATTGTGAGTTATATATCTAGGTCATGTTCACTTCTGTCCAGCGCAAAATTTTCTAAGCAACCTCATATCGGGGTATTTAGTCTCACGTTAAAATATCATATCGATATATTGAGATCGATTTTTCAACCATACCCTAGCTGGAAGTCAAAAATAGCTGTTTATGGAAAATTGTGACATCAATATCTCAGGATGCACATAATATAGCGATCTGGAATGTTTTCTGTAAGTTTATCTCCCGAGCCTAATGTCTGATAGGAATCTGAGATCAAAATATAGAGATTGAGACAGTTCGATTTTTCGCTAGGTAATGGTGTGGGTCCCTATTCGTTTCCCAGCAAATTTGAATTTCTGAAAGTACCAACAGGTAAATTTTTTCCTTGGTGCTGTTTGATTCCTAGTTCAAACAAAAGTTAATCCTGAAAGTTTGAGGTCTCTAAACCACTGGAGGCAAAAGTTCGTTTTTTTCTAATGTGCAATGATCATCATCAGTACTGTCCTGCGCAAAGTGAATTATACAAGTATGTTGATACGGAAACTCTTCAACAAAATGAGAACAAAAAAGGGGTCAGCGTTATTCTGCCAGGTAAAATAGTTGAAGCAAGAAACAGAGGCAATATGATTCTGGTCAAAAGTCAAGAGATTTAACATTTTTTTGTTAGAATCACATACGGTCGCAAAACATCAGTGTCTACCGATCACTGATGGAACCGATATCCAAATCCGACCGATTGCTGGACCGGCAAGTAAGGCAGTTTGACCAAATCTCAATAAAAAGAATAATTTTTCACGAAAGAGTCTATCAATGCAGTATATCACGGACCTAAAATGTAGAACGCGAAAAAACTGTGCATCCGGGTGGTCTGCCAGGGATGTGTCTGTACAGAGGAAGCTGAAAATTCGACTTCACATTTAAGCTGTACTTTCCAGCAGTACCCAAGGAACTGAGAAATAGGAATTTCCAAACTGTCGGGGAACTGTCAGCAGAACCATGTCTAGTTCCCTGACAGTTAGGAATTTCTATTTCTTAGTTCCCTGGACACTTCTCTTGAAAGCGAAAAGATTCTCGCATTATGAGTCTGTATTGCCGAGAATCTTTCACAATAATCTGCCATCCCGCCCACTCAATTTTGTGATTAGTATCAATCTCGTGTTTCTCCAGTGCAGACGTGATCATCATGCTTTTCACAGAGTTATCCCAGAAGAACAGATTGTTATAGAAGAGAAAAGAGTGAAAGTCTGTTATATCTGTAAAAACCATCAAAAATATACACTTGCGCACATATACGAAAAAGTAACGTGTGTGAAGTTGCACTCGAATATCAGTCAAAAGATAAATGTCTCATCGGCAGATGAGCGGTATCTTACCGATATTCATTGGATTTGCCCGTTATAGCAGTTTCCTCTACCGACGAGCGAGGTCATTTTTCACTTCTTCAGTTCAGTTCAGTTCAGTTTATTCTGGCATAGCCATGGATACATGAAGAAAAAACATTGCTAGTGCAAAAGTTTGTAACAAAATAATAAGTCGCCCATGCCTGACCGGAACAAATGGTAGTCTGATGGCGCGAGATCAGGGCTGTAAGGTGGGTGAATGAAACATTCTCAGTCCAACTCCTGGATTTTCTGCAACGTATGTGGTGCAGTGATCTGGCATCGTCTTGTCGCTGAATGATGCCTCTTCAAGAGAGCACTGCGAGGTCAGCTCGGCCTACACACGATCCAGTTGGACGCAGTAGATCTCGGTGTTGATTGTACACCCCTTTCGATCAACTCCCAGTAAATCACATCACCGCTGTACCACCAAACACACAGCATAGCCCGTTTTTGACGCTAATCAGGTTTGGGAGTCCTTACGGCAAGTTGACCGGGAAAGAGTCACTGGTTTTTCCGCACCGGATTGAAGAACATGGATTTTTCACTTTATTCAAATGGGCAGTGTTTTGTCAAAAATTAGCATGTATTAAGGAAGCACGAGATATAGTGTGCTATTGCCTCGAATATTGTAGTCCGATAAGGTTCGACCATCGTCAAGTTGTTCGTTAGCAAAATTCAATCGCTGTAGATCGGGTGGAACACCTTCTTGATCTTGAATTTTTTCTTTGATATCTTTGATGGTTTCACTCTCTTCCACTACCAATGAAAGAGTTTTTCCAATTGGTGTTTTGACAAAGATAAACAAGTTTCCATCAACGTCTGGAAAATCGTCCATTGGATTTAAACCTGAATTCAAAGGAAAAAACAACACTCGATTTCAAACAGAAATGAGGGTATAGGGAATCTTTAGAATGATTTCTTCATATATATAGCTTTTTATCCGCTTTTTTTGAATGGTGGGTATGAGGGTCTAAATCATTATTCATTCATATATCGGATGTCCCAAAATGTTTGCACGTTTTTTATTTTGCCTATATCTCAGCAGATAAATGATAAAATCTTCATTTTTTTGTCAAAACTGCGCCGTCGAATTCTACAAACTTCTATTAACCTTAATTTAAAACAATACAATTGAACGTTTTTATTCGCCACATAAAATAATTGTATGAACTGCACCTACTTCCCACATATTGTTTTTACTGCTTAATTTTGTCCATACGAATGGATATTTTGTTTGGAAAAAAATAGAACTTATTGCCAGATAGCTCTTAAAAGTCTTTGTTAATTGTGCATATATATTGCAATATACAGAATTACTAATTCGTGCTGAAGCACATGTTTTTCATTCAATGAGTGGTAAAAAATGTGATGTAGAAGGATTTCTAGATGGTTATAAAAAATTAGGTAAAACAGATTTTACCGTTTATCCACTTTTGAACGGATAATCGACTCAATGAGGTTTTTTAACTTTTTCCGCTCTGGCAGAATAGAAGGCTATCTACAGATAAACGTTTCACGACACCTAATACGAGACTGCTGGCGGTGTAGTGCACAATCGAAGGCCTTCCAGCGGCGATCCATCAGGACATTTTAGAAGGACATGGTCTTCTACTCTGAGGGGATTTATATTTTAATTTTTCATCATATAACAGATGTATGTTCTCCTCATGCACATACTCTTATGTGATCAATATTTCAAACATAATTACCCATATTCACAAACGGCGCCATCAGTTCTATGCCGATTTTTTTAATCCTTACCCCATCCCGATCAGTCGGCCGCCTAATACCTTTGGTGATCAAAGGCAGTACATCAAGGTACAGTACTTTTCCCAAGCCTCCTCCCACTATATTGATGGCGCCATTTGGTAATCAATCCCTCCTACAGCAACAAATACTATGTTTAGGTGCAAAGAACACAGCAATTAGTGGACATCCACATACACACTGGCGCTAGAGAGACAAAAAAAAGATTTGGAACCTGAAGAGTCAATCAACAGATACAACAGAACATAAATGAGATACACAAAAAGCCAGAGCAAATGAAAAAGAATGAAGATTTGAGGCAAGAAAAGATAAAGGAAATGGAAAAGAATGAAGAGTTGTTGCAAGAAAAGATAGTAGATGTTGTAAAGTGTGGACAGGATAGGTCGACTTCGTACCAATATGAAGTCAGAGAAGTAAGACAAGTCAATCAACAGATAGAAGAAAACATAAAGGAGATGGGAAAAAAGGCAGAGCAAATGAAAAAGAAGGAAGAGTTGCTGCAAGAAAACATAGTAGATGTTGTAAAGAGTGCACAGGATAGGTCGACTTCATATCAGTATGAAGTCGAGGAAGTAAGGCAGGGCAATCAATAGACACCTGAGGTTACTAGCTTAGCCCATGCTTAACGCAAACTTGCGTTTTCACATAAGAAATCTAAGTATCGCTTCTAGTTTAGATTCGTGCGTTATGCAATGGTAATGCCCCGTCTCAGCAACAAAGAGTGGGAATACGGATGCATGTCACATCAAGTACCAGAACTACTCTGTCCTTTACCGCAATCATGTCCGGACGCGAGATCTTCGTTTGCATACCCGGACTCGGTATACCTTATTTGGTATAGACCTTATGCCCTCCTTCTAGTAATCGTTAAGGAACCTGACGACAAATGTTGTTGTGCCGTCTGCACCGAAGACCCTGTACCTTCGGGAAAAACTGGAGTATATGCATGAGAGATTCCTGTTCAGCACCTTCCGCAGGACAGTTTCTACAGGACTTATATCCAGCTTGTCCGCTCGAGCATTGTACTCTTGTTGGAACGGTGTTTGTACGCAGTAGATGTGCACGTACAAAGACATCGACATTCACAGTTGTTTTACCCATATTTACAAACGGCGCCATCAATTCTTTGCCGATGTTTTTAATCCTCACCCCATCCCCATCAGTCGGCCGCTTAATACCTTTGGTTTTCGAAGGCACTACATCAAGGTACAGTATTTTTCCCAAGCCTCCACCTACTATATTGATGGCGCCATTTGTTAATCAATCCCTCCTATAGCGACAAATATTATGTTTAGGTGCAAAGAACACAGCAATCAGTGGACATCCACATACACAATGATGGTAGAGAGGCAAAAAAAGAATTTGGAATCCGAAGAGTTGTTGCAAAAAACAATGCAAATTGAAAGACTGGCACAGAAAATGAAAAAGAATGAAGAGTTGTTGATACAAAAGATAATGGAAGTTGAAAGACAGGCAGAGGAAATGAAAAAGAATGAAGAGTCGCTGCAAGAAAAGATAGTAGATGTTGTAAAGTGTGCACAGGATAGGTCGACTTCGCACTTATATGAAGTCAGGGAAGTAAGACAAGTCAATCAACAGATACAAGCAAAGGTCAAGGAAATGAAAATAAATCAAGAGTTGTTGCAAGCAGAGGTAAAGGAAACGGAAAGACAAGTCAATCTAGAGATGCAAGAGAACATAAAGGAGATGGACAAAAATGCAAAGCAAATGGAAAAGAATGAAGAGTTGCTGCAAGGAAAGATAAAGGAAATGGAAAAGAATGAAGAGTTGTGGCAAGAAAGAATAAAGGAAATGGAAAAGAATGAAGAGTTGCTGCAAGAAAAGATACAGGAAATGGAAAAGAATGAAGAGTTGTTGCAAGATAACATAGTAGATGTTGTAAAGTGTGCACAGGATAGGTCGACTTCGTACCAATATGACCTGCAGAACATTTACATCTAAACAAAAACGTGTTTGGAGATGAAATAAAGCCAGGAAAAATTATAAAGAACAATTAGGAAGTAAAATGAATATATTTACCGTCAATCCATCCTTATTGCAAGTCAAACTCGTTAATTATGCTACAACATCAGAAGAACTAAATTACTTGGGGCATGTCACAGAACAGGCGTCGTCCTTTACGGTCGATACCGAATCAACATATCGACCATATTTAACTGATTTACCATCTTTAATACAAGTCCAAGTCAATAGTAATGACGATGCATATAATGAAAACGAAATAACAACAACTCAACTATTAATCTTATTTATTTACCACAACCAACTTCATCCTCATTTATTTCTATCAAGAAAATATGGGAAAATATTTTTCGTCAACGCGAACACATTTATGCATGGGGAGATCTAATGGATGAATTGCGTCAATTATTATTCTATCAAATGTTTACAAATCAACAAATTCCAAGCTCCGTTCCAGATACAGACTAAAATCTTCAACATTATTATTCACGTTGGTTAGAAGGTAGGTTCTCACCTTTAAGGAGAGACCCGGAGTTGGCTACAATCGAAGACGCTGCTATATCAGCTCAAACACCAGCCGATATTTATTTAGAACCGGTAAGTTTATAAAAAGCGGTTGCTCATACGTTTAATTTGTTTTTAGACAAACAATGGCAACTTACCAGGGAACGTTCTTAAGTGCCCCCTCGCTTTTTCAACGAAACCTAGTGGGCTATAGGTTATCGATGATGCTGATTCTGGAAATGAATATGAGAGCTGCTCTTAGGGCTTCGAAGATCCGGCTTTCTTGAAAATTAGTTTCTCAGAAACTCTGAAAAACAACCAAAGCTTTTCTTTAGGGGGGGACTCCCCCATATATGTACCTTCAAACTTTGTCAGTTTAAAGAGGACACCTGACTACATATATCCTTAAGTTCTTTCGATGAACTGATAAGTATTCGCAGAGTTATTAATTAATTAAGTTTACATTTTAGACAAGCTTTTTTAGTAGCGCAGCGCAAAAAAATCTGCGCTTTTTGGCACCTGGCTCACACCCTCATTCGCGAACATTCAGTAAGACGAGGAATGAAAAAAAACAACTGAATAGAACATGATACGGAACAAAAGAATAACAGCCACAGAGCCTGAAGAAAGTGAAACATACATCATGATCAATCAGTTAAGGCCAGATTGTACCGCCTTCGGTCATATGTCGGACTTTATTTTGCGTATCAGTGAATTGTGGTTCCTGAATGTACCTCGAACTTTCGGACAAATATTTCTCAGGAGGGCTTCGTCGAATCGAATCACATTCGGATCTTTAAGTAGGCGATAAATGCCTAAAACGGAGAAGAGTTCTTGAAGACACGAAAAGACGTTGAGCTGGTTTGCATAATAGCCCAAGATGATTACTATACATCGCATATAGTCAGAGATTCCAGACAAATGCTCGATGCAGTAAGGTGCATTATCGAAGACGTAAATATTGTCAACAAAATCTTTCAGAACCTCCGTTAGGAGTCGAACTGTCGGATCATGAGTTTCGGATTCCAGTACAACAATCGATAGTCTCGAAAGGATTGTCATCGGTATCAGTGAAGTGTCATTGAAGCATTGAACCAGCGGTTCCTCGTAGTTTTCCTCATGTCCGTAGTTCAACTCATGCTGCTCATTTTCACGATGTTGTTTCTCTTCAACTAGATGCAATGGCTCCCGGTGGCTTTCACCATGTCTGTATTCCCACTCGTGTTCCTTAGACGAGGCATTACCATTGCACAACGAACGAATCTAAACTAGAAGCGATACTTAGATTTCTTATGTGAAAACGTAAGTTTGCGTTAAGCATGGGCCGAGCTCGTAATCTCAGGTACCTATTCATTGCCCTGCCTTACTTCTTCGACTTCATACTGATACGAAGTCGACCTATCCTGTGCATACTTTACACAATCCAGCCCCACCGTTTTCAGGTTACTCTCGTTCGTTTCCGTTTATTGACTGTCTTGACTTGTCTGATTGACTTGTCTTACTTCTCTGACTTCATATTGGTACGAAGTCGACCTATCCTGTGCACACTTTACAACATCTACTATGTTATCTTGCAACAACTCTTCATTCTTTTCCATTTCCTGTATCTTTTCTTGCAGCAACTCTTCATTCTTTTCCATTTCCTTTATTCTTTCTTGCCACAACTCTTCATTCTTTTCCATTTCCTTTATCTTTCCTTGCAACAACTCTTCATGCTCTTCCATTTTCTGTATCTTTTCTTGCAGCAACTCTTCATTCTTTTCCATTTGCTCTGCATTTATGTCCGTCTCCTTTATATTCTCTTGTATCTCTAGATTGACTTGTCTTTCCGTTTCCTTTACCTCTACTTGCAACAACTCTTGATTCATTTTCATTTCCTTGACCTTTGCTTGTATCTGTTGATTGACTTGTCTTACTTCCCTGACTTCATATTGGTACGAAGTCGACTTATCTTGTGCACACTTAACAACATCTACTATCTTTTCTTGCACCGACTCTTCATTCGTTTCCAATTTCTTTGTCTTTTCTTGCAGCATCTCTTCATTCTTTTTCATTTCCTCTACCCGTCTTTCAATTTCATCTATCTTTTCTATCAACAACTCTTCATTCTTTTCCAATTTCTTTGTCTTTTCTTGCAGCATCTCTTCATTCTGTTTCATTTCCTCTGCCTGTCTTTCAATTTCATTTATCTTTTCTATCAACAACTCTTCATTCTTTTCCAATTTCTTTGTCTTTTCTTGCAGCATCTCTTCATTCTTTTTCATTTTCTGTGCCAGTCTTTCAATTTGCATTGTTTTTTGCAACAACTCTTCGGATTCCAAATTCTATTTTCCCCGTCTACCATCATTGTGTATGTAGATGTCATTGTGTATGTGGATGTCCACTGATTGCTGTGTTCTTTGCACCTAAACATAATATTTGTCGCTATAGGAGGGATTGATTAACAAATGGCGCCATCAATATAGTGGGTGGAGGCTTGGGAAAAATACTGTACCTTTATGTAGTGCCTTCGAAAACCAAAGGTATTAAGCGGCCGACTGATCGGGATGGGGTGCGGATTAAAAAAATCGGCAAAGAATTGATGGCGCCGTTTGTAAATATGGGTAAAACAACTGTGAATATCGATGTCTTTGTACGTGCACTTCTACTGCGTACAAACACCGTTCCAACAAGAGTACAATGCTCGAGCGGACAAGCTGGATATAAGTCCTGTAGAAGCTGTCCTGCGGAAGGTGCTGAACAGGAATCTCTCATGCATATACTCCAGTTTTTCCCGAAGGTACAGGGTCTTCGGTGCAGACGGCACAACAACATTTGTCGTCAGGTTCCTTAACGATTACTAGAAGGAGGGCATAAGGTCTATACCAAATAGGGTATACCGAGTCCGGGTATGCAAAGGAGCTCCGGTACTTGATGTGACATGCATCTACGAAAACCACTCCAACAGTTTTCAGGAGGAGGAGTTTATTCTAGTTATCTTGTTTACATCATTCTCATCCTTGAAACAGAGAAAAATACTAAAAAAATAAGCACTGGTAACATACCACAAATATGTTAACAAATGATCGGTGAACACTATAAAAAATGATACAAAAGAATCGGGAAAACTAAAGAAAAGTGAATTTTTGAAAGCGAAAACAGCGACGATGAAGACAAAAGCATAAATGAATAGTTTGGCAGAAGATCATAAGGTACTACTGATAACTTTCATTGAAGAAGAATATTAATGTACTTTGGCAAGTGACCCAAACCCAATTCCTAGACTTGGGTACCCAAACCCAAACCCAATACACCCAAGTCGCTTGGGTTTGGGTTTGTAACATACGTACCCACGATGCATCGCCCTACACATTGTACGATGTATCGGCTGCTTTACTGGGCGATTTCACGGATGTATCATCTAAAGCCGATACACAATTAGATTCATCTCTGGATATGTTGCTCGATGAGTCGAGTTAAAGTCGCTACTAGATAGATAACTAGATACATCTAGAATATATCTAGCTGCAACGAGCCATACCCGATACGTTTTGCATGCTTGGGTATACTCTTTCAAAAATAAAAAAACAGAACATCATTGCGATCTCAATTCAGTGCACCCACCGCAGCTATCTACATCAACAAAAGAGAAATCGATTAATATTGGACAGAAAAGTCTTCTCTTTTAGAGTTTGGTCTACGTCGCATAACAAACAAGATAAATTTGGCATGCATTTCTACACTTGTACAGCGGTAATGCTTAAATCGGATACAACTCGTTGTGAGCTACCTAGGTGGGTATTGGGTACCTAAGTCTAGGTATTGGGTTTGGGTCAGTTGCCAAAGTACATTAATATTCTTCTTCAATGAAACTTATCAGTAGTACCTTACGATCTTCTGCCAAACTATTCATTTATCTAAGAATTTGAAAACCTGCAAAAAACCGGTCAGTCACAGGTCAATGCAATAAAAACATCGGTCCTGCGTCAAATTCAATGCAGGCGAGTGTGTGTTCATGAACGGCACTTCACCGTACACACACATCCATACCACTGTGTAAAGATGAGTCGGTGTTTGTAAGACGAAGAAGTGCGTCATCAACTTTTCGAGATCTAGGAATAATTTATTTCTGCTGTCATATAATAGCCATTACGAGCAATGCCGATCGCATTGCTACGTAATTATTAATGCACTCGGCATGCTATGAGCGAGATAGTAAAACAGTACAAAACATTCTTTATTTTCGCGCTGACTAGTTACTAATCCACGCAGGAGATAACTCCGAAAATTCTAGCTCGATAAAACACCGGAGACAAAAGCCGCTGTTTCCCTTCTTAAGGCTAATGAAGCTCTTGTCTGTCGACGAATGTTGCGACTAGAGAAATACCAGTTTTTCCATAGATGAAAAGCTTTCAGCAGACACTGTTTTCGGATAAAAATCAGCCTCACCGCGACTGTTGAACTTGAAGAATAAAAAAACATATTCATCAGTTTGAAAACAACATTGCCATTGGGAGACAAGCAATCCATTTCCAAACAATATTCTTCAGCTTCTGCTTATATTTATTCACTGATAATGTCCCAAACGGCATAGGACTATCTTTGCTTAAAAATGACAGATTTTGAGGATCTGTGTGCGGTTTATTACAAGCGTGTGACTAGTTAAGCGCACGTTTGGCTAGGTCCGACCAGTGCTTTGCAAAGTAAATCTGTAAGGATTTGGACCTCATTTGCAACAACTTGGAGTGCTAAGGAAACTCACTGCAGCCGGAGCACTATCAACGTCCGCACTGCGTCTGTCAGGCTATATCAATATGCAATTTCTAACCCCACTGCTTACTTACTGGCAGCTGAATGCGTAAAAAGAAATTGTATTTATTCACCTGTACACCAGTTTTTGTAAAATGAATGTGCAAAAAAAAACAATGCATGTCGCTCTTTTTCTTAAAGTGCTCTGGCACTACGATTTGGTAAAAGCCATTACG